TATTTGAAAAAAGCAATTACATATAATAGAATTAATAGAATAATATAAATAAATGCCAATTTAAACTGGCTTGTAGTCCAGCTTGCTCTCGAGCTTCTTGTTGTCTGCAACTTTGCGCACCGCCTTCATGAGATCCCCCTGAAATACAATTAAGTAGGTAAGTTGACACTACGTATTCATGTAAATAAAATTATAGTGTCTGCTTAAATTAATGCAAAGCAAATCTTAATGGAATGCAAATCAATATAACTGAGTTATATTGAATGCAAATCAATATAATTGAAGGTGAAATTACAGTTTTACAAACCCTAATTAATTAATAAAAAATAAAGGTAATTTTCGTTTACAATTTTATATTACTTTAATTTTACCTAATGTTATCTACATTTTCACCTGATTGTCGCGACCGAGGCCGAAGCAAAGTGATTGTTTTCTGGAGTAGGCACATTCCGCTCTTAACGAATTTATGGTTAACGATCAGCGTTGTAAATGACATGTAAAATACATGTATATATTTTAAAGAGCTTATCATGTATTTAACGGCGTATTTTACGCATCATTCATTTGTTTATAATTACGTTACGTTTTCATTTTTACGTTTACGTTCCCATATTTACGCGAACGATATAAGGATGTGACACATCTTTAAGTTACGTCTTCTGCGCCGCCCGCAAACCTTTCTTATCTTCTAACCTTGAGAGACTAATTAGTGAATCGAATTGGTTTCACTTTAGACATGGCGTTAATAGTTAAATTTATTTATTTGTTAAAAGTTATTTGTTAATTTTTTTTAACACATAAAATTAATTGTTAAAAATATTACTTACTCTTGTAGTGAATTGTTATTTTTAATCGGTTGTGTTAATTTTATTGCTATTTTACGCATGAAATTTTAATTCAATAAACATTTCTTCATGCTTGGATTATTTTTATTATTAAAGTCTAATTAATACTCACACACACAGTCTAATTATTTCAATACTTATATTATATTATGATTTATAATAATTTTATATTATTTACAATCATTATTAGGTATTTAGTATTTACTAAAGGTAAAAAACATTACAAATTTTTCAAGATGGTCCCACAGCTGTGTGTGATGACGTCTCCGTATGATAAAAGGTGAAAATTAAACTCTAACCAAAATCCTATATTTTTGTACACTACACTAAATAATATAAGTAATAACTAATTTCACTAGATCTGAATTAACTTTCCTAGTATTTATTTTTCGCTTTTTATACTGCCTAGTAATATTATGATGAAAAAGTAAACCACAGAATTCAATCACTCTTACCGGAGAAAATAAACTCTAAATAAAATGATAATAAAGTGACGGACGCGCTTCGTTTAAACAGTTTAAATTAACACCAACCAATATTTTAGCCAATGGCGTAACAACAAAATACATAAAATTGACATCAACCACTAACGTATTCAGCCAATAGCGTTACCCATATGCGTTAAAAATATCAGTTTGAACGGTTTAATAAAAATATCACTTCTATTTATAATATCATTACTTCAAATGACTTAACGGCATTGATTTTTTATTTAATAATATGATAATTTTCAACCACAGTGAGATATAAGTTTAATTTTATAGCAAATAATTGTTACAATTCTTTTTTAACGAGAAGCCTAAGTTTTAACCAAATCAAAAGAATACATGTATTGATGTTTTTGAAAAATATTTCTTTCATTTCTTCAGTATATAAAATTTTAATAGCGCCATCTACTACATTCTATAGATGAAGTCATTTTATCGAACGAAAATTTATTCATACTCAAGGTGGTACGTAAAAATTACGCTAGATGGCACAAACAACCGTGTTTGATAATTTTATTCAATAAGGTTAATTTTATTTATTTAATAAATTTGTTAATTTTTTGTAACTGTTTATTTTAACAGTTAAAAGATATATTAACCATCTTTATTTCACTTCATGTCTCGTAGGCTGGGTGGTCTGTGTAAATGGTGCTATTAGCTCTTAAAATTTTTAATAGATGTCGCTACTAGTTTTTAAAACGCGCTATAAGAGTGTCTTCACAAATGTTACAACCTATATGTTTTGGTTTAACAAAATTTGTCATTGAAGTAGATTGTTACTGTAGAAATCTACAATTTTTGGAGCCCTCCGATTTAGCGGCGGGTGAATAGCCAAGTTTTCAGTAATATAGTTTAAGCTAGCCGGGTAATTGAGGCTGAATAACCAGCTATTCCAACTATTCGATAGAATTAAATGACTCGCTAACCAACTGAGAGTTCATTCATTCCGTTAGCCTAGCCACTGTAGTGAAGCAGTGTAGCTGCTAGGACATGGACAATGTTCATTTGCCGTGATTACGTTCTAATTACGTCGCGGAACATATTTATATTTAGATAAATAAAAAGTAATGACTGGTTTTTATTCTCTTATTTATTTTTTTATTACTTTGAAAATAAATTAATCCTAATAATTATATCGTACGTTTTAATATTAATTTTTTAAAAACTGTCGAAATATATCCATCTATATTTTACAGTGCCATCTATATCGAAGGGTATGAATTAAGAAGCTGATGTACGTAAGACTTTAATTATGTTATATAACATTATACAAGTAAACTAAAAGATTTACCGTAGATGTCACGCTACTCCATTTATCATTTCTAATACCGTATATTGTTTTAAATCGTATAGTTGATAATTCACTTACGTTGATTCAAAGCTCTAAATCAAATTTAAAACAATAATAGTAACATTTTGCACTCGTATTTCACTCAGTCGGCCAAATTTGAACTTAACAATAGATGAAGGTCACGTACTTTTGGTTTTGTTTGTTTTATTTATTCAAAAGTGTGTTCGCTAATTGTTCTGTTTCACGAATCCGTGACAGTAAAGCTCGAAGAAAGTATGAAGGAAAGCTCATTTCAATTAAGCCAACGGATAAAAATGTACAGTTGATAATTACGTACGTTATTCAAAGCCTAAATCAAACAATAATAGTAACATTTTGCACTCGTATTTCACTCAGTCGGCCAAATTTGAACTTAACAATAGATGAAGGTCACGTACTTTTGGTTTTGTTTGTTTCATTTATTCAAAAGTGTGTTTGCTAATTGTTCTGTTTCACGAATCCGTGACAGTAAAGCTCGAAGAAAGTATGAAGGGAAGCTCATTTCAATTAAGCCAACGGATAAAAGTACAATTATTATTATGTACATATTACCACAGAATAAATAATAGTACTACGTATAGAAGTTACACTTTTTTGATGTTGACTGCTTGCCGACTTTTAATAGCCTACATAATTATTATTAATTAGATAAATCGCGCTGATAATGTGCGCGAGTGTCCTTATTACTTTGCCTTTTTTTCCAATTTCCTTGACTTTTTGAGGCCCTCCGATTTAGCGGTGGGTCGTAATGTGTTATAAGTAATGATACATCGGATAATGTTGTCGTCTGCCTATATTAGCGGTGTGTCGTTATGTTGTGTATTATATATAACATAACGTAACGTTATCGTTATAGTACAACGGATAACGTTATCACAACTAGCTATATTCATAACTGTCTATTTTCCATGTAATTGTAACGGCAACTCAATAATATACCTAGTCATAGAACAGTTATCATCATAATTATTTTCCTTTCGTGATATAAACTGTTAAGATTTAAATACTAATTTAGTTGCTGACACAATCATAAAGTATTTTACTGATCTTATATTGATCTGTCCGTTCATTTGTACGTAGTGAACTTTATCGACCTTCAAATATTTTATAGAAATAATCGTCTCCAAACCATTAGTTAAGCAATTAAACGTTGAATACAGTTATTATTGGTTTGGAGATTGCATTTTTTACTCTTTTCTTCTTAATTTCTTACTTCTACAGATCAGTGACAAACGAGCACACAGTCCACCTGATGGTCAGTGGATGCTGTTGCCCAGACATCTACATTTATCCTCAAATCAAACGGCAAATGCGTTGTCACCCCGTGCACTAAGATGAAATGCTTCATTTTCAACAAAAAACGGTCTCCGGTTCTCTACGCTCACCATACAAAACATAGCAGCATTAAGGGGAAATATAATCTCAAATGGCTTAGCAAGATCCTTCGTTATTCCGAAAATATTGCAGCATTAATTTTGAAATAAATATATGGTAAAGTTGAGGATTAATATTAAGGATTATGTTAGACGAAAACACGATTTCGTAAAATTTTCTCGATAGAAAAAAATCCAATTACCCCCAAAATAAACCGCTGTTATTCATAAAATACTTTAAATAAGATCATGAAACTTTGCATACTAACTGAACTAACTATAAAGCAGTGCTTATGTTATTTACTTTTTTTTAAAATACCATTATTTTCACTGTAAAAAGAAATTACCTAAACTATCGGCCTCTTGAAGCGTGATTCCTGCCGCCCGGTCACCACAGAGTACCTTTGTATAAACTGAAACCGGTCACTTCGTTTCGGCCTTTGAAGGGGGAGGTTGTGTCGCTTACGATCATAATATACATTACGCAAGAGGACGACGTAAAATTAAAATGGGAAATAACCGTAATAAAAATAAGAAGCGACTGGCTTGGCGTTAAGAAACAGGCATAAATATGATAAACCTAATGAAATAAGTGTCTTAACGACCTTTCTACTTACAGTATTAGTGATTACAAACATGTCGGTACATAGCATTCGACGCGCGGGCAAGTGGGGACGAAATTAGAATTTGAGCTGACTTACTATATCCCCTTAAGCTGCTATTTTATGCTGTTATTCTGTGAGAGCGTGATCCTTCCCCGGTCGAGCCGACCCATTCGTGCTACAACTATAATATGGCTGCAGTGTGGCTCTAACACGTAAAGTATAAAGTATGACTGATCCTTGTGTGGATTTTGAATATATAACTGAAGGAAAATAATAATATTCGTACTAATTTTATTTGAAAAAAAAAGCAGTTACATATAATAGAATTAATACAATAATATAAATAAATGCCAATTTATTTAAACTGGCTTGTAGTCCAGCTTGCTCTCGAGTTTCTTGTTGTCTGCAACTTTGCGCACCGCCTTCATGAGATCCTCCTGAAATACAATTAAGTGGTTAAGTTGACACTACGTATACATGTAAATAAAACTATTGTGTCTGCTTAAATTAATGCAAAGCAAATCTTAATGGTATGCAAATCAGTAAACTGAGTTATGTTGTAACGATCAATTTATTAGCAATAAGAAAAAAAATATGTTACTATAAAAGCCCGTATTTGGGTAAATCTTAAGATATTGTTTTAAATCTTAAAATTAACCAATATGAGCTGGTAAATGAAAGATTTGGTATAAAATGAGACGATTTATCGGGCTTTTACCATTAGATTTTGGTACACGCTGGGTTTTAGGTACTAATGACTATTAGTAAATGTTGGTTTTGGAAATAAAAATATATAGTATAAGTAGAAAGTATTTATTAAACATCGAACTATGTCACCGATTAAATTCTAAATTAATTTTGTGATGAGTTTTTAAAAAAGAATACAGTAAAATATACAATTATATTTGTTTTCTTCTCACAAACATAATACCTATGTTCTCTAAGTTACTATTCATTACTCTCATTCTTCAATTCATCAATTATTTCACTAATTTTTCTTTTCAGATAATTGTCAGTACAAATACAATTTTTTTGTATTGACTATATAGTCACAAGAACTTCCTGCAATTGTCTCGTGATTCCTTTCTCCGAATTTTCTTGTGACATTATCATGAGTTGTCACATCAGAAATATCGATGTTTTTCTTACTCTTCACCTTCTCCGTAATAATTTCTTCTTGTATTTTCTCTTGACAGCGTTATGTAAATTCATAGAATAAAACATAAATTCACCTATAACTTGGCTGAAAATTGGACTTTTCCAATTAAATTTTGTTTTTAAATAGTATCATTAATTGCCCCCCCCCCCCGTATTCACATATAATTTTTTTTTGTAAATTTTCACAGTTACATAGTAGATTTTCATATTTTTCATTAAATAAGTAAGTAATTTCATAATTTTTTTAAACTTTTTCAAATTTTCGTTTCTTTCGTTCTTTTTGCTCATGTTAGGTCCATCTTGTGTAGAAACTACCATCTGCGCTCTAATTTGACTTATAAAACACAGAATTAGAAAAAATATCTAACCAACTATAAATTTGTAAATAACTCTCCTGAAAATTAGTATTTACGTTCAAATTTTCTCTAAATTGTGTAGTTAATTGTCATCCATATTTCCTTGTACTTTTCTTAGTAAATTTTAGCCGTCATATAGTTATTTTTTATATTTTCATTCCCTTATTATAGTAAATTCAAAGAACAAAACATACATTCACCTATAACTTGGCTGAAAATTGGCCTTTTGCCTTTTGTGACTCTTTCTGAACATTAATATCTTCTTAGTCATATTCAATTAATTTTCGGCGGTAATATTATATTGTTCCGCATTTATCTGCGAATGCAACAAATTTCTTCAAATTTTCTTCAGATCTTACTTCTCCATTATATCTCTAAACATCGCTGAAGTTGCGATGCCTATTTTCATTTACTATTTCATTACAAGGAAAGTGGCAGGGGGCTGGCCAAAAATAGTGGCTGAAGAACTTGCGCCAGTGGTTCGGGAAGAGCACAAGATCACTGTTTAGAGCAGCGGTCTCAAAAGTTGAAATCGCCCTAATGATTGCCAACCTTCGCAAGGAGACGGCACCTTAAGAAGAATTTCATTACAAAGTAATATTTCAAACCAATGATTGCTTCGTAGGGTATATCATGAGAGAGACAAGAGCACCTCGCTTTTGACTCTCTCATGATATGCTCTATTTTCCATTGCTTGGATGAATTTTAAGTCCTCAGACCATTTAAGCCTTTAATTTCTTTAAACTTTTATGCCGATCTAGATAAAAGCTATCACATTATTTTTTTCTCATAAATACTTCTAGATAACAAAAACGTACGTACTAATCGACCGACTGTGTCGAGCGGAGACAGGTGGACACTACACTGTTCGCAAGCACGAAAATGCGCTAAACACTTCTAGAGTTTAGACATAACTATTTTTCAACATTTTACGTGTCTTTAAGGTAAAACCTAGGACTTACTGAGTTAATGTTAGGAGTTGTAAAGTCCGATATTAACGATTCCCACAGGGCAGTTCGGACTGCCACCATTAAAGCTTGGTATTGGTAAATCCTAGTCCTAGATTTTACTGTATAATCTTCGGATGTACCTTAGGGTAGAAGTGGGCGTTGAATCAATAAACTGTTTTTTCAATAGCTTTTCATTAATCAATGTGTTAGCTGTTATTCATTAATGAATAAATAGGTTGAAAATATTAGCTTTCAATTTACGTTAACGCACTCAACGCATTTTTTTTTCAATATTATTTTATTCATTTCTGTGAATTTAGTCTCCTTCGGAAATATTCGTTACTTCCGGAGGTTACCGAACACAGCCGCGTCAACACATCAGATGCGGTTTTGTGCGTGAGCGTGAGCAAGTAAAGAAAGTTAATTTGTTATTTGTGAAGATTTTGTATTTAGTGTGTGCGTAAACAATCAGTGAGCTTCGTTCAAGGCTTAAATTCGTGGAGATTCTTTTGTTTGCATTACGCGGTCTAAGTCAAGTGTTTTTAAGTTTAGTTTATTTTTTTAAATTTTTAGGTTTAAGTTTCACTGGTCGGAATTTTATGTGAATATTGTTTTGTGACAAAGCTTGGACAGTATGTCAGTGGCACGTAGAAACTCAAGTTTACTCTGACAAAGACAAATAGAAATATAAAACGCATTGTGACTCACATAATTAAAGCTCGCAGAGAAACACTAAGACGCTAGCAGACAAAGACTTGTCGACGATCACTTCGGAAGAATGGAATAAAATAAAAATGGATTGGAACACCTGACACAACCAACAGATATGTCAGGTGTTGGAACCATTCGAAGAGTGGCCATAAATGTTTGACGGCGTGTTATCTTATAATAATGATACGTTGCCTGATAGACAACTACAAGAACAACTACTGGTGAATGGAAGAATTCTTTGGAATGATGAAGAACTCACAATGTTTTATCCAAACTTAGCCAATTTACATAAAAAAATGTACTACGACTAGCAACATCAGTGCCATGCGAAAGAACGATCTCCAAATCGGGGCTAATAGTAAATCAAAGAAGAACAAGACTAACTACCAGCAAAATAGAAAAACTGCTATTTTGAAATGTAAACTTAGACGGAGGCCGTTTTGCAAGTTATGAGATTTGATATGTAATTGTAAATAGAACAAAGTAAAAAAAAATATGACTAATGTATATATATACCCAGCTAGCCCTAAGCTTGAAAAAAGTAAATAGTGGTAAAATTGTCATTCCAGTTCAATAAACATAAAAGTAATTTTAGCTACGAATTGATTCTTATCATATCAATAATCTTCAACTTAATCTGCAACAAAATTGTTATTGATCGAAAACGTTGAAGATTGAAGTATTAAATTGACGATTAACGCTAACAATTGAAGTTTCAAAACCTGTTATTTATTTAACAGCAATTTTAACCTGTTGACCATTAATGATTAACAGTTAAATTACATTAAGTAAAAATCCGTCAATGACCATTGACCAATGCTTACCTTAGAGTACCTATACATAGGGATGTTCGATGATCATCGATGTTCGATGATCATCGATGTTAGAAATTGAAACTTCGATGTTACCACACGTTGAACATCGAAACATCGATGTTGCCACATGTCAAACATCGATGACAATGAACCAATAATCGATTAATAACTAGTGAACAATGCGAACCCGCGAAATAAGTATCACCTAAATATTTCATCTCATATTAAAGGTTTAAAATTTTGAATAATTAAGGATTCCTAAATGCATCGATCACCTAAAAAACTATCATTATGTTGTGTCAAACTCCCCGTCGAGTGTGAACTGTAATGTCACTGTTGTAACTGCTTTCGCTTTGTTATTGTGGTGTCGTTATCGGCTGTCGCCTAATAACTATTCTACATAAATTGATATTCAAATTAATTGTTTTTTTTTCCTTATCTCTATACATACATAATTTTGAAACAATATGTATCTACACAATTTAATTATATTTAGCTGTTTTTATTAACTTGGAATAACAAGTTTATGGTTTGTTTGAAGTTTATCGGAATAAATCATTGGGCAATCGTGAGCATAGACAATTTCACTGCAAAGTACATTCTACATTTTATAAACGGCTGTGGATACTTACTGCCTGGGCTGCCTGATTAAAAATTGTGTGACCAAAGGTGACTGAAAAGTCTATTATTTTGTTTTTGTGAAGTTTGTTAATTTCTCCTCTATAATCATTTTTTTCCCGCGATGGGAGTAGTTAATATAAAACCTATGTCTAAATCGTAAATTAGTAGAGTAAATATTTTAATACTAGATTTATAATTGTATAGGAACATTTAAATATCAAAATAATAATATTCATCATTATCGTAAAAAAATAAAACAAATTAAATAAAGATTTGTTAAGTTTTTCCCATTTTTTAAATTACTGTTTCACAATGAATGTGTTATTAATGTCTTTAATTTCATAAGTAAATAATAAACCATAAACGACACTACAAATTTTTTGCACATCTTATTTTAACCTACTAAATAGATACATGTGCTATAACATCGATGATGGCCAACATCAATGTTTTGAGTAGGATAAACATCGAACATCGATGTAAAGCTATCGATATCAACATCGATGTCATAATCGATGTTTCTGTAACATCCGATCATCCCTACCTATACAAGACCCGTGATTTAATTGACAAAATATTTTAGTCAATAAATCTAAGGGCCGCCAAAAATTCACCGAGAAGCAAGCTTCTCGATGGGCTGTAATGATGATAATAACTACTTGTTATCAAAACATATGACTTGTAGCATTTGTGAAAACACTTAAAAGCGCGTTTTCAAAAACTGGTAGCGACATCTATTAAAAATCTTAAGAGTTAATAGCACCATTCATTACTTTACAGCTGATGAAAATTAAATAGCAGTTAATCCTTGAAGAAGACTTATTTCCATTTGCACTATTTATAAATATTTTAATAGACTGGACAATCATGTTAATAACATAAAAATAATTGAGTAGGTACATAATAAATGATATTTCAATGTCAGGTTAAAGGACGCCTTATTTTTTCAACTGAGGGCTCTCCCCAGTTTTAGAAGTTGCATTTTACTATTTATATTGTAACATAATATAATTAAGTATTGTGTAAAATTCATTGCCATAAGTATAATACTTATTACATAATTGAAATTGTCTTAGTATCACCCATCCCAGTGTTTTACAGGTTTAGTATTTTATATCGGCGTATTAGTTAGTTGAAATAGGGTAAAATGTTACTCGGTAGATGGCAAATTAAAACATTTCACAATTTAGTAATAACTTTAACTATCTTACTGCGACATATACACGAATTTTGTGCCTGATGCCAATTAAAACAATGAGAAAATGAGTACTCTTTACAATAATCAATGATGGCGTATTTTTTTATTATTGGCGTAGATTTTATTTCGACTTCGAATTCTCTTTTATCTCATCATGTCTGAAAACTTACAAATGTTCTCATATAGCAACATCTAGCATTTGTGTTTGTAGTTTCATTAATAGTTAAGTTGTGAACACAAGTTATAGAGAGCCTTTTTAAATAAGATGAGGCAAACGAGCATACGGATCACCTGATGGTGATTACCGCCGCCCATGAACGACTGCAACACCAGGGGAATTGCAGATGCGTTGCCGGCCTGTTAAAAAGGAGAAGGCATTTTCTTGAAGGTCCTCAAGTCATACACGTCCGCAAGAATCTCTGGTGGTAGTCGATTCCACAAGGAAGTTGTGCGAGGAAGAATACTTCTTGTAAATAGCACAGAGTCTAGTCTAGTCTCGTGTTTATTGTTAAGATTTATTTAAAATTTATTACAATATACTACTGCTCGAGCAAATCTATACGGACGAACTCTGAAAGCTGCGTACGACTAGTTTTCGTCACGTTCGGCAACACCTAGTGCTGTTTCATAACGTTAAAGATGGGAATGGGCGTTGTGATAAATATATATAATAAATATTTTCTTATTTTCTTTCCTTCTTTCTTTCTGAATAGCACATATACTACTTTATATTCTTCTTTTTAATAAAAAACAAAATATAATGATTTCTTATATTTACGCGAACACTATACATTGATTGAAACTACTTTTACGGATTTTATCGCATTTAATTTATATGATTTTTAATTCCCGATGTTTCGGGTGCTTTCCAGCACCCATGGTCACGGGGGACTGAGGTGACTGACATCACAATGTCAGTGCTAATCCGGAGTACCTTCAGCTTTTTCATTCCAGTCCGCTCTACGCAGAATGAACCTACAGTGTCTTGAACTCTTGAAGTGGTATGCTTGGGTTTAGTTTTAATTTTATTAACTACAGAATCCAAAGCAGGTGGTAGTACCCAGCCTCCTTGTCTATTGAAATTAGGATGTTTTTTAATTTCAATAGCCTCACGTATCATCCTTGGTAGGAATGATTAGTGGTCTATCAAATCTAATGTAATGGTTGGGGCCGTAACAGTAACAACATAAGTTGTTAGCTTATGATCACAAATTGCCGACTAAACAAAAATCACAACCCTCAAGTTAACAGCTGGATACATCGACATGTACGTCCTCACCAGATATTTCTTTAAGGATATCAATATTTACCTGTATAATGTACTCCCGCTCGGCTCGAATGGCGAAGAGACCAGCTTCGGTGCACACGTTTCTCAGATCGGCTCCGTTGAAGGTGTCCGACAGCTTGACCACAGCCTCGTAGTCCATCTCGCCGTGCTTCGCTATGGGCGCCGCGTGGATTTTTAGAATCTCCAGTCTAGAAAATTATAAATAACAATTTAACATTACAGCAACCGCCAATACGCATGCTATTCGTGGCGATTAAGGCGAATCTCGCTAAGCTTCAAAACTTCAGCTAATTCAGGATATTATATATCTCATATTCTTATAGTTTTATAATATAGTTTTGTATATGGTAGAGCCATACTGCTGATATATTATAGTTGTACCACGAATGGGTCGCTCGACCGGGCAAGGACCACGCTCTCACAGAATACCAGTGTGAAATAGTAGCTCAACGCTGCTGTGTTTCATACGGTGAGTGTAGAGAATCGGAGACCCATTTTACTGGAAACGAGGCATTCCATCTTCCTCAGGGGTGGCAACGCATTTGCTTTTTTTTAATTTGGATTGCCAACATAAGAAACAGTAATTAATGTCTTAACATTACAGCGTTATAAATTTTACACGATTAACTGCTCTTATAATTATAGGCAATCACAGCATGCATTGTGTATATAACATTTGTAATGTTAAACAAAATTGAGAAAAATATGTTGTTAAATAAAAAATAAAATAAAATAATGATAAAGAAATAGAAGATAATTGTGCAACTGGAATTTAACGTATGTCAACATGCTTTAGTTTGGCAACAAATTGCGCAAGGGTATTTTTTTAATTCGTCATCGAGGATAGATGTAGGCCGTATTCAGTGCTCTCCTGACGGTCGGGACTGACGGTCAGTGCGTACGCACGCACTGACCGTCAGTCGGCTTTATGCATTCAGTGCTCCACTGACCACCGTACGGAACAGCAGGGTATAGTCGTGATGTATCCGTTTATAAATTGTTTAATTACTCTTTACTATTTGAGGCGATTACGAATGAAAAAAAAACGAAGAAGATATCACGTACATCCAGTTATTGCTAACAGGCTACTTGAAGGAGAATTCAGTACTCTGTTTTCAAAACTTAGAAATTATAATGAAAAATTCTCTGATTATTTTGGGATGTCAGTAAAAAGTTTTGATGAACTGCTGGCAAGAATTCAGGATCATATTAAACATCATAACATGTTTAGGATTCCAGTACGACCCGTTGAAAGACTTGCTGTGACATTGAGGTAAGATAAAATCGAAAATATTTTCGTAGTCGGGTGCTATTCCACTCATCAAATTTCTTTGATCAAAATATCAGTGCATTTTTCTAATAATATCAACATAAAAGTCAGCTTTCTCTTTTTGTTGGATAAAATTGATGGGTAGAATGGCTGGCACCCTTACATAGAGTACTTTTAAATATGAAATTAGAGACCTTTAAATATGAAATAGGCAAATTAAACATGTTTATGTGCTAAGTTTAATAAGTTTAATAAGTAATTTAGGTAATACAATCAGTTAAGTAATTTAGGGAATGCAATCAGTATTATCAGTATCATGTGATTGTCAGTCATTGCTTAAAATTAATATACTGAGACAAATCAGATGATGGGTTTTCCAAATTTTGTGATGTGCTCGTATAAGCGAAATTACGATTAGTTGTCACTACGTTTTGAAACGAAGGTTCTTCAACTGAATACAAAACTATGTCTCGAGATCCTGGTGATGGTATATTGAAGCTGGAAGCAGACAAAGATGTGATTACCGAATTTTGTGATGTATGTGCGATATTTGGATTAGTTCTCACTACATTTTGAGACGAAGGTTCTTCAACTGAATACAAAACTATGTCTTGAGATCCTGATGGTAGAGATTCTGGTGATGCTATATTCATGCTGGAAGTAGAAGATTCAGGGCGAGAGGTAGATGCATACATTGGTGAAGCAAGAGGAGTGATAGACGAAGGGCAGTTACAAATTTCCAGGGCTTTATTCATTACTGCAGTACGGAACATAACTTTTTGACGATTGTCGAATGTCCGTGTTAAAGGTAAAAGAGAATAAAAAAATGCCATATCGTCATTTTGAATAATTTCGCTGTTTTTTGTTAAAAACTCCAAGATGTTTTTATCGAAGTAGCTGTCTTCATTAGTTTTTGCGTTTTTACGCTTCCTTGATGGGTTTGTGTTAGGAGTAGAGCTAGATTGTTTAGTTGTGTTTGAAGAATCTTGTCTAACTTGGCTGGAACACTGTGGTTGGGTTTCTGGATTGGTGGATACTGTTTCAGTAGAACGTGGATTGATTGGAGACTCTAAATTTGAATCTTGTTGTGTATCTTCTCTTGTTTCATTTTCTTCAATAGAATCTTCGGTGTCGGCAACATGTTTTTTGTCAAGAAACTGTAAATGTTTGAAAAATACGTATTTGGTTCTCTTTCCGCCTTCCGATCCCGATTTCACAGATTTCATAGAATTTTTGCATCTCATGTAAGCATCTCTCGCAGTTCTCCATCTTTGTTGTACACTTTTTTCTGTAAATAATAAATAAAAAAAATTGTGTTTTTTGTTCCAGGTACTTAAGAACTGGACAAACGTTTTCGGACTTACATTTCAGTTATCAACTTGGCAAATCAACTATTTGTCTCATTGTTCGAGAAGTTTGCCTGACTATTTGGAATGTGCTTCACAGTGAATGTCTTTCGCTCCCTAGGTTCCCTGAAGATTGGCTTAAAATTGCTTCAGGATTTGAGCAGGTTGCCAACTTTCCGAATTGTGTAGGATGCCTAGATGGCAAACACGTGAGAATTGTTTGTCCCGAAAAGAGCGGTAGCTTATTTTTAAATTACAAGAAGCATTTTTCCATCAATCTACTAGCAATGTGTGATTCAGAGTATCGTTTTACATATATACATGTTGGTTCGTGTGGGTCAGACTCTGATTCAACAATTTTCAAGAATACTAGTTTGTACACAAAATTACATAATGGAGAACTAAATTTACCAAGTGCTAAGCCATTACCTAATACCACTGAACCAATGCCATATGTGCTAATAGGCGATGGAGCGTTTGGAATATCGAATAAAGTCTTAAGACCTTATGTTCGCAGCAATATGACACATAAAAAGAAAATATTTAATTATAGATTAAGTCGGGCGAGAAGGTACATTGAATCGACGTTTGGAATAATGTCCAATAAATTTAAAATATTCCAACGCTCAATAAATCACTCACTGCCGAATGCTATTAAACTTGTTAAAACCTGTTGTATTTTGCACAACTACATTAGAGAAAGAGATGGCTATAAATTTGAGGATACGCTAACTATTGAAGGATTTCAAAATAATACCAACACTAACAACATCTCGGTTGTCAGATCCGGTGATGTTTTGAGAGATAAATTTGCTAATTACTTTGTTTCTGAAGTTGGCGCAATTCCGTGGCAAGATGATTCTATATTTTGATTGTTATTATTTAGATACTTGTATATTCAATAAAAAATATTTTTAATAAACACATTTTTTTACTTACCAAAGTCTTTTTTATCATTCTCAGACAAATCATTAAAATCGGGCAAAAGAGCTTTATACACTCCAAACCATGCTTGAAGCTTGGCATCTTTATCTTTGAATAAATCGTGAGATAGATCCCACAAAGGTGGTCTTATTCGAACTTCTGTTATCACACGTTCAGTGTCGATGTTATGTTTCGACATGATTGTACACGCTAACGTCCGTTCGAGTCCCGCTTCCGCAACGCACTAAATGCTCTGAAGCATTGCATAGCGCGTCAGTCACCTGACGTACGCAGCACCGACGCGCTCGACTGACCGTCTCTGTCAGTATTGCGTATGCGGACGCGGTCAGTGCTGCTCTGAATGCACGCATGGTTTCTATGGCGATAGCTACGGCAGACTGACGTCAGTCCTGACCGTCAGGAGAGCACTGAATACGGCCGTAGATGTCTATGGACCACAGCAACCACTTACCACCTAGTGGACTATGCGCTCGTTTTTTACCCTCATCCTATAAAAAATAGTGTATATATATTTGTATGTTTGTGTATATGTTTATATGTGTGTTTCTATGTTTAACAATGGGTCTTAGAGAATGATATTCTATGTATATATTAAATTATCCTTATTTAATTCCCTTGGTATTATTTAGATAAGTATATGTTTTATTTATATTTATTTTTGTTCTTTGTAACCATCTTGGCAGAGAATGCTTCTAGCATTAAGTCCGCCTTTTGGTTCTATACTTCTTATACGGTGCAATAGTTTAAATAAATAAATCTCCCCCCACAATGGGAGAAGTTCTTATCCAACTGTTCACTTTTACGGGCTCAAGAAAAATTAGGACATAATTATGAGTATAAATTACGACTAAAGGGCATCAGTTTTTAATATGATTAGATAAGGGTACACAAGCAGACAGTTTACCTGATGGTAAGTGGATATGTTGTGGTCCATAAACATCTATCCACAATTAAAAATCAAAATGCAGAATATGTCTACCCCGAGGACTATAATGGAAGGCCTTGTTTTCAAAAAGAAGGGTCTCCGGTGCTCTACATTCATCATGTGATAAACAACAGCATTATTCTGGTGTTTCATGCTGTATTCGGTGCGAGTGGCCTTTCCCTCGTCGATACAACCCATTAGCGCCACAACACATCGATTTATTGGAAAAAAATCTTTGCGTCTTATAGTTCTACCCAATTTAAAAGGCAATAATTTTTTTTATATTATTAATTAGTGCCTTCCATATTACTTATTAAGAGCCGTGGTAGCTCAGATGGTTAACGCTCGCTGTAATATACCAGAACGCGAGTAACCCGTGTTCGATCCCCGCCGGCACCAATGAAACTGTTAATTGCAATTTTAAGTGCTGATTTACCACGTGCTCGGCGGTGAAGGAAAACATCGTGAGGAAACCTGCATGTCTGAGGAATAAGAACAAAAATATTTCGAAAACATGTGAAGTTCGCCAACACGCATTGGGGCAGCGCGGCGGACACTTCCTTGCCCTAAAACCCTCTCAGAAATGAGGGCTTGTGCCCAGCAGTGTGACGTATATAGGCTGTAACTTTACTTCACTGAGTAAGTGAGAACTGGGTAAGCAAAAAAACTCTGTAAGTGAGAATAATTGTCAGGTCCCGTCATTATATCCCCCAAAGCCTCTGTAAGTAAGAAATATATTCCTGTATAAGTGACAGTCGTTTTTCACTTGTGGACTTGTATATCTGAGGTTGTTACTTGCTGTTTCCTCTATAAGCGACAGTTAAACGTATTAAACGTTTACTCTTTATGACTTATTGTAATGCGTCAGTCATTGTAAAAGAAGACGAAGCCGACTAATGAGAAGCAGAAAAAATTAAAAAAAAAACATAAAGCTTTAAATGTATTGGAGATGTCCACATTTTTTTTTTGCTATTGATAAAACCATATAAGATTAAATTTATGAACTGGAAAAACATACACGAAATGTAAAAACAGAAACACAGAAAAAATTAACGGGATTTCTTCAAGTTGATGTTAGATTTTTTTGTGAATACTATGTCCACATATTATTCTAATATAAGCCATACAATACATTCATGTTTAACATTACATATTTGCTGTATTTTATAAACCTCTATAAGAGAGACAAACCTCTCCTGTACCTCTAAGCTAGAAACTCGGGTTAATGAAAAACCTTCATAAGCGAAGAAGAGATCACAGTCCTTTGAACCGCCTCTTATTCAGGTTCTACTGTATTACATTAAATCTAATAATAATAATAACAATAGCACTGAGCAAATATTGGAGTATAATGTAATAATAAAAGTTTCCATTATTATGAACAGTAACAACTTAAGTTGTTAACTTACTATCAGAAGGACTTTTAATTTAAAACAAGAAACTTGTTCCATACCCAAATCAAGCTTACACCCAACAAAAACGAAGTGTTGGCAAAATTTGTAGTCCAAAGATAAAAAACTTACCTAGCCTGTTCGTTGGGGAGAGGAATCTCGATCTTCCTGTCCAAACGGCCGGGCCGAAGTAACGCCGGGTCCAAGGTGTCGGGTCTGTTGGTGGCCATGATGATCTTCACCTGGCCCAGGGAATCGAACCCGTCCATCTGGTTGAGCAGTTCCATCAGCGTGCGCTGGATCTCACGGTCGGCACTGGTGCCCTCGGAGAAACGTCTTCCACCTGAAAATAAAAGGCTTATTGAGTTTTTTAGCCAGTTTTTTAAATGACAGAAGTTTTTCTGGACCAATATGAAAAGCATAAATAATGAGATCTACATGATGTCTTCATCACTTTACAACCGACTTTTGATTATTTTTTACATCAAAAGTTTATACTTTTGATATAAAATATTTTAGGGATTTTAGGAATTTGATAAAATTCCAGCCCAACAGCTAAGTACTCATACGCTACTCAATTTGAAGATGTCGTTAAGTCTCATGGTGTCACTGTCACTTTGACTTAAGGTGATAGAGACAGCACGTGACTTAATGGCATCTTAACATGTGCACTTTTCCGTGACCCACATATGGGTCATTGATATTGTTGGAGCGGGGCAAGCGAAGCGAGCGGAGCTCCCATGGCACAAGAAAACGATTCTTTAAAATCTATCTTCTCAAGGTCAATATTTGTAGCTCAACGCAGACAATGTTTGTAAACAACAAAAATCTGAATTTGATTTTTTTTTTCTTTTACTATCTAATCAATTCGCTAATTTATATTTGCGCAATTTCACACCATTTGGTTGAAATAAAGATAGTTATGACTTTAGAATTTTACTTCGCTCTGTTTATAATGCTAGCAAAAGGTTTTACCTTTACGGCCTGGCCACGGGGATTGGCGGCGCGAACGGCGAAGCGACAGGCGGGGCGAAAATTCGCGCGGCGCGATTTGAGGGCCACGGGAAGTTCCGTTTGCCGCCGCGACCAGATAGGCCGAGAGTTAAATGCCTTTATCAAAGTTATCTTGATATTGCTTAGAAAGTAATTGTTTTTGATTCAAGACATAATATTTGGAAGAGATTACGGAGTACGTGATTTGAATAGGAATTGGGTTATATAGATGGAGAATTCCACAACAAATAGAATGCATCTAGAAAAAAAAATCGAGTAAATACCAGAATGAGTGTCGAAACCTGCGATTATATTCTTGTTAATATTCGACCAGAATTGGAGATAAAAGTCAATGCGGATAGAATTTTAAGTTTTTTTTTGTCGGCCCGTTATTTTTCGCGGCGAAAACAACTAAAATATTTTGTTCCCTATACTATTCGCCGGTTTTAGCCCCGTCTGCCGCCGATTCCGTGGCTTGCACCGTACTGATTCATACATTTGTTTCAGTCGCCCTCCGCGCCGCCAGTCGCCCGCGCGATTCGCCCGGTAAATTTCGCCGGTCGCGTCGCCACTCGACGCTACGCGTGGCTTGATCCATACAATCCTATACAATTGTTTTAGTCGCTAGACGCCTCGCCGTTCGCACCGCGCGAATTTTCGCTATGGCGAATGTCCCGTGGCCAGGCTGTTACATCTGCACCGGCCTTATTCTTACGATTGTGTGAGGAAACTGGACAGTGAAAGTATTAAATAATGATTTCTTAAATTTACTTGAACACTACACATTTAAATAAAACTAGGTTTTACGGTTTTTATCGCGTATATTAACTTATTTTACATTCCCGACGTTTCGAGCACTTTACAGGACCCATGGTCATGAGCCGGACTGAAGTGTTCGACGTCCCAATGTTATAATTAACTATGGCTACCTCCAGATAAAAATTATTAATTCTAAGTTCTGACCTACATAGTAGGAACTTATAGTATCACGAAGTCTTGCAGTTGTATGCCTTGGTTGGGACTTAATTTTATCAATTATAGGATCCCAAGCTAGATGGTAACACCCAGCCACCTTCTCTATTGAAAATTCTAATTAATAATAATTATGTAGGCTATTAAAACGTCAGCAAGCAGTCAACATCAACGGACTGCAACTTATGTAAGTAGTACTGTTATTTGTTCTGTGCTGATGGTAAGTGGATTCTGTGGCAAGCCAGATCTATCCTCGATTAAGAATCCAAATACAGAATGCGTAATTACCCCTGAGGACTGACATGGAATGTCTCGTTTCCAATAAAAAGGCTCTCCAATTCTCAACACTCACCGTACAAAACACAACAGCATTAAGCAGATATTTTACGCTGGTTTTCTGTTGAGAGCGCGGTCCTTCCCCGGTCGAGCTGGCCCATACGTGCTACAACCACCATATAGCTGCAGGATGGCTCTATCACGTAATATGTTTTGGCGGCGCCAATGCATAGTACATAAACTTTGTCTACCCATCTTACTAACTATATTTAGTAATATCTCTATTAGCAATATCGTATTAACTCACCAATGGCGTCGATTTCATCCATGAAAATGATGCAAGGCTGGTGGTCCCTCGCGTAGTTGAACATCTCGCGAATCAAACGAGCCGACTCGCCGATGTATTTATCTACAATGGCTGACGATACCACCTATAAAACGAAAGGTATAAAAGTATTATTAAATGTCCTACGTCGAATAATAAAGTTTTATTGTATTTCGAAATAGCCACCCGCCCCTGATTTTCTTAATTAGAATCTGTTAATGTGGGTTTATTAAGATTTAAGATAACCATCAAAGACCAGTTTTTTTGGATTTCATGTCTTAGCACAGTCTTCATAATATGGAGTATAGAAGTAGGGAGTACAGACTGTGTATTAAAAAGCGTCTATAGAAAACCGTTAAATAAGGTGGCTCCACTATAGCTACCGGCTAAATTTTAAAGAACGTACCGAAAAATATTAGTGGCATAGACGACTTTTTCGAGGTTGTATTTACTAAATAAAATTATTTTAGATTTTAGAGCTACTGAGCAGTTCAGCAACACACTTCAAACCGTTGACAACTGCTAAGTTCATTTCATCCCAGTAGCTACTCCGCAGTAGCTATTACTGCTTACACACAGACACTTTTTCAAATATTCTACTATGGGAGTTGGTACTTCTTACTTCTACACTCCATACTTTATAACTTAAATTGATTTATTGATGATAGTAATAGGGATGGGCAAGCGAAAAAAATATATTGATATTTATCGTATCAATATGTTGAATCAATATCGATAATTATCGCGTGATAAATATCGTTATATATATATATATATATATATATATATATATATATATATATATATATATATATATATACATCACAATATTGATTCTACGTCCTTTCATTTCGCATTATTGTAGCGTCCACCACTTGTAGGCAATTTTTATACATTATGACAGCGAATATTGGTCCATTAAACAATTTCAAAGATAGTGTTTAACTCATTTCTTTGAAAATTTACCATATGTCGATATACAAATATTCTTATATTGCCAGACGGAGGGAAACCAATCAGGACTCCCCTTCCATATTACAAATTATCCAGAATCCCCGTAATATACATAGTTTTTGATTCATTCTCCTGCTTAACGCAATTCCTTTGTATGGTGCGACGTTGCCACTCTTATTAGTTATTCGGCTTTGTAATATTTTATTTATAGGTGATATCTTGTTTATGTAGGTATTCGATAGATTCCTATAGTCTGTTATTTTCGCAGGAGAAAAAAACAACAGATCTTTATTAGATTCGTTTAGCACGAATAATACAGTTTTTATGATTCTGGTTCAGATTAGATTTAATTTTAGTCACTTAAGTTTCGTATATTGTTCAAAATAATGAAATAAATCCAGAGAATGCGTGGTTACGAAAAATACGCAATATCATTTTTGTCTCTGGCGAAAAAAAAAACAGATAGATATCATGATTAATTTACCAACTAGTTATTCGTTTACTAAATACGAAAAAATATCTAGGATTGCCCAGCCGTGATACATTATAGATTGACTATATTATCATTTATTTTACTATTGTAAATAAGTACTAATTGTAGATATTGACAGGTTTAATAGAAGTTCATTTTCTTATATTGTGACTAATAACCTAATATGACCTTGGGAAGAAACTCATTTTAATATAAGGTTTTACTGCAATGACTTCCAATGGGTTGTTAATTTCTACAATAGACCGTGGCGTATTGTTGCTGGCATGAATAACTCCGAAAATATAATTTATTTACTTGATCGTATTGAGTTTTTGTGCTCTCACTGCGTACTTTTTAATATCTTAAGGATGAGTGCGAACTATTGTACCTAATCTGTACAAAATTACTCTCTACTTAACTAGATTAATTTTTGTGAAAGGCTATTTTTGTTAAATTATGATATTATGTTTGGTTTTGCAGTTAGTTGAAATACAATTTGTTTGTGTTGTTGTTATAAATATTGGACGCTATATTACTAAAAACATGCATATCGTGCTCTAATTGGCGTCCGTATTGTGACCTACGCACATTGAGAACTTTTCACACTTATGCTTGCTTGCATTTAAGTTTCTTTGGTTATATTTAGTAACTTAGGTAAATAAACTTGTGTAAGTTGATTAATGTTCTTGAGATGGACATTGAACGGAGTATTTACCCATATACGGACGTAAGAATATCCTAAAATATTCACACTAAGTTTTATTTGACGTCCACTTCTTCGTTATCCGATGTCCAAAGTTGTTGTTGATTATTGCATTTAGTATTTATTTATGTTGATTATTTATTTAGTGCTCAATGCATATTTTGGTATTTTTGTCTGTTTATACTGTACTCAGTGCTAGTAGATAATTTTACTTTCCAATTTGTTTTCGTGTCCTTAGATTTAGCTACATATAATAATAAGGATGTCCGAATATCCTAAAACATTCATACTGAATGATATTTGACGTCCATATTTTGAATTTTGTTATATTTCTATGTGTAGACGCCAGATTATCGGTAAAGTTTCATTCCGCTCGATATTTGACGTCCATTAACCATGAATATATTTATATTTTAATTTCTTGTGTATAAGACACACATTAATGATCATTGCTTTAATGACATTTTTCGCTATTGTTTTATTCGTATTTTAGTGTAGGGAGGCCATGCGGTGTAAAATAGTCACTTTGGTGTTTTATAAAATGTTTCGTTCTAGAAATGATAAAACGCATAGAAGCTTAGAAAACGTGTGTGAAAAATTAAATTGTATTTCAACTAACTGCAAAACCAAACATAATATCACATTTTTTAACAAAAATAGCCTTTCACAAAAATGAATCTAGTTAAGTAGAGAGTAATTTCGTACAGATTAGGTACAATAGTCGCAATCATCCTTAAGATGCAGTGGGAGCACCAAAACTCAACACGATCAAGTAAATAAATTATATTTTCAGAGTTAATGTCAGCAACAATATGCCACGGTCTATTGTAGAAATTAACAACCTATTGGCAGGTAATGCAGTAAAATCCTATATTAAAATGAGTTCTTGGCCAGACCAGATTAGGTTATTAGTAAGAGGTCACAATATAATAAAACAAACTTCTATGAAACCTGTCAATATCTAAAATTGTGTCTATCTTCCTGTACTCAATCAGAAGGTAACTTATACTCAAACAGAATTATGGGTTGCTTACGAAATACCTAACAAGAGTTCATTTAGGTAGATTAGTACCAAATGTAAAATGTTAAAATATAGTGCAGCATGAAATAAACCGATAAGCCGACGTCCGCATCTACATTTATAAAAATAAAACTAAATTCAAAAATACGGGTGTCAAATATCATTCAGTATGAAAGTTTTAGGATACTCGGACGTCCATATTATGTGTAGGTAAATGTAAGGTTAAGGAAACAAGTTTAAAAGTAAAATTACTAGTACCAAGCGCAGTGTAAACCATATAATAATGTCCTGCAGACCGAATTACTATCACGGCGGCCCGCCTCAACGGAGACTAGCCATCGGCGCAGGACAGGATTATAGTGCCTAAGTGTATGCACAAGCACAGGTGCACTCTCTATTCCCACATTCTCATAATCTGATGGTACGGTAAACCGACACGACCGGAGAGAGATCAGGCGCAGGATCAACGGCTTTACGAGGCACGGGGGTGATAGACCGCCAACTTCCTGACTCCGGGCTATTGAGAATTTCTTGACAGAAAAACACAATAATTGATTTTTTGGTCCAACCCGGGATTCGAACGCAGGACCTCACGATCAGCAGTCGCACTACTACAACCACTAGACCAACGAGGCAGTCATAACCATATATCACCAAATACAAGTAACACGTTGGCAACGGTGCATCTCCTAATTTTGTGCGGAAGTCAAATACGGCCATAAATGAAAGTATTCACAAATCGACAGCAGCGCTATTATTTTTGCAACGAAAATTAGCGGAACTACGTAAATATTCAGTACAGCAAGATTGAAAGAAAAATGAAGTCCAATTTTTTTTAGATTTTGACATTTCTGTGATCAGCATGACAATTTGCGAACATTGCGCTAAGTCTCCTATTTGACGTCCGTATATTGGACGTCGTAAGCAGGTTGACTGCACATTATATGCAAAATTGGCCATAGTGGACGTACAATAAGTTACGGGATGAAATATATAATATATATATATATATATATATATATATATATATATATATATATATATATATATATATATATATATATATATATATATATATACATAGATGATGACTAAGATGGAATGTCTCGTTACCAGTAAAAAGAGTCTCTGGTTTTCTACGCTTACCAAATGAAATACAACAGCAGTAAGCTGCTATTTGACGCTGGTATTCTGAGAGAACGTGGTTCTTCCCCGGTCGAGCCGACACTTTTATGCTTAGACTATACCAGTGATCTAGCTGCGACACAGCTCTACCACGTAGGAAACCTTACCTTAAGGAAGTTTGCATCGAGCTGAGAGGCCACAGCCCTCGCCAGTAAAGTCTTGCCAGTTCCCGGAGGACCATACAGCAGGCAACCCTTTGGTGGAGTGATTCCTACACGGACGAAGAGTTCTGGATTCAATAGGGGCAGCTCGATCACCTGGAAAATTAAAGATTTTTCTGATGAATTTTACAATACAACTGGGCTAACAGTCTACCTACAATAAACTAGAAAAAGTGCATGTTTGAGCAGGTCTATGTTTAAATTTTTTTAAAGGAACGTATTTGAGGAATTTTTCATAGTCATAGTTGATTTTTAGGTGCTTGTCCTGAGAATTGAAAAGATACTAAAAACATTGTTAAGTAACCGGTATTTAGACAAAATTGAAACTAAATGAGGAATGTTAAACTAGGCAAACAGCCAAAACGCGAGCAAAACAAGTTCTAGCTTTTTTATAGAATAAGGGTTCAAATGCGCGTAAAGGCCATCCAAACGAGAAAAGATGGTAAGTAAATTCCATGGCCCATAGGTACTCACCACATTATGTTCACACCAGAGGCCTGAGATGGAGTGCCTCATTACTAATACAAATTGTCTTGGGTCATACTTACCATGCAAAACAAAGAAGTATTATTGGATAAGAATGACAAGTGAGCACACAGTCAAACTGATGGTAAGTTGTTATTAGAGATGGGCCGAATATTCATTTTATATTCGGTATTAGACATACTCAGCAGCTTTACCGAATATTCGTATTCGGCCGAATATTCGGCTAAATCACCGAATAATCGGTAAAGTATACTCAGTGTCCGCTGTATTGAAATGTACGAATTGAGTAATGCCATTTCTTTCATAATTTTACTGTTGAAAGTATATTTTATTTATGAGTTAAATCTACTTGTATAGCGTTATGTTTTTGAGGCACTGTAGATTTATTTCCAATTATAGCAAATAGAAAACTTGATAAAATGTTTTTGGAATCAAACAAAGAAACATTACATTACATTAGTAAATTTCAATTTACTTTGTCAGTTTCTTTAAAATAAATCCAAATAGCAGATCTCCTGCCACTCATTTTTATCAATTTTCACTAACAATAACACTACGAAATTTTTTTTTGCACAAAAATAGTCAAAGCATAAGCATGTGCGCCAGCAATTTGCTCAGTATAAGATGATGATACAAAGGCATGTCAGGTGTGTCCGGGGAGTGAGTGGCAGGGTCCGGCGCTAATCCCGTGCGCTTTACGGTAACAAGTTTCGACAGAAATTGGTTAGGTACCGAATTACTAGTAGTAGTAGTACTGTATCCTGCCGAATAAAGTTCGGCCGAATATTCAGTTCGGTAAAAGTTTTACCGAACTTTCGAACCGAACGAATGGGCCGAACATGGAACATGAAATCCATGTTCGGCCCATCCCTTAAAAAATTTAATATTTTTTTTAATAGGATATGGTGACAAACGAGCACACAGTCCACCGACACAGAGTGATGGTAAGTGGTTGCTGTGACCCATAGACATCTACATCTATTCTCGATTACGAATCAAAATGCAGATGCGTTGTCATCCATGACGACTAAGAAGGAATGCCACGTTTCCAGTAAAAAGTCTCCAGTTCTCTACAATTACCATACGAAACACAGCAGCGTTAAGCTGCTACTTTACGCTGGTATTCTGCAAAAGCATGGTCCTTCTCTTATAGAGCCAATATTTGTGCTACAATCAAAATATAGCTGCAGCGAGCCCCACTCTTGACACTGGGTGCGTATTATCCTCTTACCTCTTTCTACCGCTAAACAGCAGTGTACGTCTGCACCTCTGTATGCATTCCTGTCTGAAGGGTATAGAGTACCAGTGTAACTACAGGCTGTGAGGCATTCCCACTGAGACCTCGAAAACAAAAAAGACACCAAATTGTTAGTGTCATTGTTAATTTGAGGGCATTTTATTTCTGTTTAAAAAAGGAAAATTAGCCTGTTAACTGTAGTGTTACTTTTAAAATTAGTTTTATATTAGAATAATTATTTTCATTGTTGTCTTTTAGATGTGCTACTTCAAAAATCATGTAATTCCAAAATTTATTATTTTTAAACCGTACATTCTTCTAAAAACAACCTAAATTAATGGGAGAGCGTTGCTCCCTGATACAGGCTCATTAGCTTAAAAGAGCACTATGGTCACTAATATAATATAATTATTATTTTTATTTATTATTTATACATAAACACACTAGCAGCTAAAAAAGCTGATGCGTGTGCGTCTTAGTGTTTGGAGATTTTATCCAATCTGTTCTTGAAGGCATTCAATGTAGGAGCATCAATCACATTTTGTGGTAGCTTATTCCACTTGGTGACAACATGATTTGTTATAAAATTCTTCATAGGATTCCGCTTGGCAGTCCTATGGCAAAGTTTAAATTGATGTCCTCTTAGACGTTTGTTGCTACTTAGTAAGTACAAATTTGGCAGAGTAGGAACATTGTAATAACCTGTCAGTATTTTGTATGTTTCAATCAGACTACCTATCTGCCTACGGCTCTCTAGTGTTGTGAGGTTAAGCTTTCTCATTCGCTGCTCATATGTCATGTTCAGCAGTTGTTTTACCATTTTTGTGGCCCTCCTTTGAACATTTTCCAGTATTAATATATCTTTACGAAAATAAGGGTCCCATATCACATATGCAAACCCCAAAAGAGGTCTTAAGTATGTTCGTTAGATCTTGTTAAATATTTTAGGAGTGAGACACATAAAGCTTCTTCGAACCATATACATCATGGAGTTTGCCTTTTTTACTATGTTAAGGATATGAGTTTCCCATTTGAGGTCAGTGGTTATTGTAATACAAACGGTCTTTGGTTGTCACGTCCGGCAACTGGGCTTTCCTTAGGTCTCTTGCGATATTAGACCACCAAGTCATTGGCGGGCAGCCTCTATTTTTTTTGTTTCTGGCAAGCTTAGAGCTATTTGACCGCATTCGTTGCGTCTTTTAATATTTCCATACCATCTTAGGCGATTTTCAATAATTTTATCTGTAACAGGTGCGACATTAAAGTTGTCACGTATATGTTCATTACGGACTTTGTCAAGCCGAGTCACACCTCCCGCCCACCTAAGCATCTACATTTCATTAGTATGGACCTTTTGCTCATGCATCTTTTTTGTTGTCCAACATTCAGAACCATACAATAGCGCGGGACGTACTGCGGTTTTATAAGCTTTTCCTTTAATTTTATGGGAATACGTGGATCACATAATAACCCTGTCAAGTGATCGCCATTTCAGCCACGCGGTCCTTATTCTATGGGCCACGTCTGTGTCAACTTTCGCATCTGTTGTAAGCATAGAGCCCAAGTACTTAAATTTATCTACTGTAGGAATATGTATTGTCCCAATACAGATATCTTATATACCAATACAGATATCTATATCTTTTTGTGATTCAACAGAAGACAATGGGTGATCACCTAGATAATATGTATTTCGTGGATTATTTTTCCCTATAAGTAGAACCGTACACTTGTCTGCGTTCAGTGTTAGGAGCCAATCACTAGTCCAATCGCAGATGGCATTTAGATCCTGTTGTATAACTTGATGTTGCGTAATAGGGTTCCCAAAAAATTTTGTGTCATCGGCAAATAATGAGAACGGTAGCTGTAACATGCTCTTCAAATCCGATAAATATAAGATAAATAATAATGGTCCAAGAACAGATCCCTGCGGAACTCCGCTGAGTACTTCCCTGGGCTTAGACATTGTACTTCCAACTCTTACGCAGAACGTTCTGTCTGATAGAAAATCACTGATCCAGGCCAACAATTTCCCGCGTATACTAAAGTGTTTTAATTTGCATATAAGTCGCCGTAATGGTACACGGTCAAAAGCTTTTTCATAGTCAAGATATATCACATCTGTAGGTAATCCATTGTCATGGTTTGAGACCCATTCATTAACACATTGTAACATATTTGTAATGATTGATCGCCTTGGTACAAATCCGTGCTGTTCATCTAAAATCAGTTGTTCTTGTAATAGGAATTCTCTTAATCTTTCAGTTATGATCTTTTCCATGGCTTTACAGAGGATACTTGTCAAACTTATTGGTCTGTAATTACTAGGTCTCATCTTATCGCCGTTTTTATAAATAGGTACGACTGTAGCTTTCTTCCAATCAGCGGATAAGCGTCTATCCTCCATGGATTTGTTCATAATGTTCGGCAAGCAATGATGAGCATCGCTTTAGTAATATAGATGGTATTCCATCAGGACCAGTGGCAGTAGCATCAACAAAGGTTAACAAGGTCTTTAGTAAGATTTTGGCTGTAAATTTTACGTCATCAATTGAGTTTATTACTGTTTGCATATTTATGGAGGGAATTGGTCCATCTGGTTCTCTTACATAGCTATTAACGAACTGATCGGCAAACAGCTCCGCGATTTTTTGTGGTTCATCTACAAGTTCTTGTGACTCGGTTTTAAGCATGTTAGGAATGGTGAGTTTAGAATTAAGTAGTCTTCTAATGTATCCGTAGAAAGCTTTCGGTCCAGAGTCTATGACATTTGTTTCTAATTGAGTTCTTCTATATTTTGACAGTTTAATAATTTTATGATTTATATTTCAAAATTTTCGGTACAAATCTTCTGTTTTATTAATAATATATAATATATTCCATAACTCTTTTTTCCGTTTTGTTAAATCCAAAATTTCCTTATTTATCCATGGTTTCTTATTTGATTTATTTATTTTCTGTGATTTTTTTACACAATTTTCAAGTGATGTATGTATTTGATTTTTAAATGATAGCCACATTTCATCTACTTGGTTTTCAATTATGTTAAAGTTTTCTGCTAAATCTTTGTTAATTTTGCTATAGTCAGCTTTATAAAAATCAAAAATCTTTTTTATCGGCACTTTATTATCGTTATTAATTATCTGCATAGAAGCCAGTATGACCAAATGATCACTCTTTCCAATGGGCGGAAAATACTTAATATCAGTTATTAAAGTTTCATCATTACACAGTATAAGGTCTAGTAGGGATTCTGCATTATTACGTTTCCTTGTGATTTGTGTTACAATAATGTAGCCATTGTTTCGAAATAAATATTTATTATTATTATTATAAGGGGTTCTGTAACAAACTCCTTTGAAGGATTTGCAGCTTAATTGCTAAGTGTTATGAATTTGTGTGGGCTACAAAATTTGTTTCTGGTCTACATGTAGTTTATTCTTATTGTGTAAGAGGCGATAGAGGTAAACAAATCAAAAGATGGGTGTCTTCCTAAAAAACAACTAAAAATAAAAATATACTCTGATTAATAACCCACATGCGAAGCATGGAGACTATGGTGAATATCTCCTCTATGAAGCAATCTATGGAGGAAGGCTATGTTTAGCAGTGGACTTAATTAATGACAGGACATAACGGTAATGGTAGGACTTCACTGCTGCTAATATTTTACAAAAACATACTTAAATACCTGCCTCAAAGTACATCTATGTCCATGGCATATTGACGTATTCTTGGGAAGTCCTCCATCAGGTAATTTCAAGTATTTGACAATGAAATATCTATCCAGATCCAAAGACACCCCAAAAAACTTCCAAGATACTTTACCTCTCTCAACTGCCGGATTTGTTCCTGAAGGCCACCAATAGCGGAGTATGTGACATCACCAGGGTCTTCATGACTCATGTTGTAGACTAGTGGATCCACCTGAAATCACAAACAAAACCCGGGTTTAGTTTTTGTGATTTTGTGTACTTAGCACATTTAACTTCAGAGATCAAGATTTTTTTAAATGTAATTGTAACATACTAATATAATAATAATACTAAGAGAATCATGCCCACTTTCCATATATTTTAAAACCTGATAGTGAAAGTTTATGTATAGTTATAAGCTCTAGTAGTATGTTCATCTAGATCAGTGATTCCCAAAGTGGTCTATATCGACCCCTAGGGGTCTATGATAACCTGCAAGGGGTCTACGTCAGCGAAAAAAAATTTGGGGGTCCATGAAATGAAAATGGGGGTCCACGATAGTGGATCTCGACACATACACTGATAGTACCTATTTACTTACATCATACTATCTTATAATATCAAAACATATACATTATTTATAAAAGGACCTATGCAGTAAAAAAAATTATTATATATTTTTATAAAATTGTGTAAGTTGTAGGATGTTGGTATTCGCTTTGTGGTCGCAATACATTTTGAACTTGTAAAAACCTGAGAGTCGCAGTCTCAGAGCTTCGCTACCTTACACTGACTTGTTAACAATTCGTCACTCTATAAATACGAATGTGGGACAAATACGTTTATTCGTTTCCTGAATCTTGTAAAAGGAAAGTGCTAAGAAAATATTTAAAAAAATATAAACAGTATATCACACAAATTATAGTAAGTCAGTGTTATTTTGTTTGAGAGTGCTGGAGAAAAGTAAGTACATTATTTTTTATTAAATTTTAGTTTTGTACTCGTAGTTAGTAAAGATAGATAAATTACGCCAATCATGACTTTAGTTATTAGTAGTTTAATATTCAATCATGCAAAATTACACGAGTACTCCTCAATAGTTTCTTTTTGAAAGTTTTAGCAATCGGTATTATAATTACAGTGCAATCTCCGTAATTCGAGCTAATTGTTGCAAGAAGATGTTCGAATTATGGAATGTTTTCGGAAAAATCAAAAAATATTTTTAATATACAGCTGCTGGATTTTCTGTCTTATTTAAATAATTTAATTTTGCCCACAGATGACTGATGCCATGTCCGAATCTAAAAAGAAATGTAGACAGTACAGTGACGATTATTTGAAATTTGGCTTCATTCCATCATTGCCGGACAAACAATTGCCTATGTGCCTTTTATGCAACAAAGTTTTGGGCAATGACGCTATGAAACCATCTAAACTGCAAGATCATCTGAGAAGATGCCACCCTGATAAAACAGAGAAAGATTTGAAATACCTTCAAACGCTCAAAGATGAACTTCAAAAGAGACCTACACTGGACAGAATGTTCGCTTCGACGTCACAAAGAAATGGTGATGGTTTGCGGGCGTCTTACAATATCTCGTTTTATACAAAATCGGAAAAACGCATACTATCGGAGAGAAGTTAATTTTGCCAGCCGTTGAAGAAGTTTTAAAAACTCTTTTACACAAACCTGCATCTGATATCATTAAAAGAATTCCCTTAAGCAACAATACTGTTGTAAGACGTATTGATGAAATGAGTTCTGATATTGAAAGCTTCTTACGTAATTATTTGCAAACGACCCATTTCTCTATAAAACGGGACGAGTCAACTTTACCTGATAATGCAGCATTATTATTGGCATATGTTCGTTTTATTATGAATCAAGAAATCTACGAAGAACTGCTCTTCGCAAGAACTTTGATAACCGACACTAAAGGTGAATCAATATTTCATATTTTGAAGGATTACTTCATTGAAAAGCAATTCCTTTATCAAATATAATATCAGTAGCTACAGATGGAGCACCTGCCATGGTTGGACGTTATCGTGAATTTATAAGCTATTTAAACCATAATGTGTTAGGGGTGTTAGCAATACATTGCGTCATCCATCGACAACATTTAGTTGCTAAAAATTTGAGTGTTAGATTGCATGAATCACTTCATTTAGTCATTGATGCAGTAAACCGAATCCAAAGCAACGCGTTGAATACGCGGTTATTTGCGCAGTTGTGTGAAGAAAATGACGAACACTTTCATCAATTACTCCTTCACACTGAAGTGCGCTGGCTGTCGAAAGGCTTATGTTTGACAAGATTTTTTTGCACTTTTTGATACTATTTTAGAATTTCTGGATACTAAAGATAAAATTTTAAAAGAAAATTTAATGAAGAGGAAAACAGACATCGCCTATTTAACAGATTTGTTTACAAAATGTAATATGGTTAATTTGCAATTACAAGGCGACAGTTTAAATTTGATTAAAACAAAGTCCATCTTATCAGCATTTCTTGCCGGACGGGGCGAATTTCGTCAGTTCCCCAATTTGTCACAGACAAGCTGCCAGGAAGACGACGTTTCAACTTACGTTCAACATTTAAATACCCTCTATTCAGATTTTGAATCTAAGTTTGAGGATATTTTGACTATGGTAATACCACCGTGGATAATTAATCCATATGGTGACGTAGAAGAAACAAATGTCATAATACAAGAGGAACTGACTGAACTAAGTACAAACGAAGAACTTAAGGTTCAGTTTAAAAACTGATATCAGCAATTCTGGCTGCAAAACAACATACCCATTACTTATCCCGTATTATGAAATATAGCGAGGAAATTTTTAATTTCCTTTCCATCGTCATACCTAGTGGAAAAGGGGTTCAGGTTTTATTTATAGTTTATTTTATGTTTATTTAATGCTACGTATATTTTACATAACAGATACAAAACTTTATTTTGAGTAGTTTTAATTTAAATTCAATTAATAAATGTATAAATTAACATGTGTTTTTACTTTAAGTTTTTAACACAAAACTTCACTACAGTTAGAAATTTACAGGAAATCAATATCAGGTAAGTAGAGGGTCTACCCAACTCGGAAAAACATGGCAAGGGGTCTACGACACAAAAAAATTTGGGGAACTCTGATCTAATTGCATTCAAAATATAGTTAGTATGTTTACCCTTGACATAGAATAACCTTAAAGAAATATTAAAAAATATTTTTTCCTGCATTTCTTTTAACATTGTGATAAGCATAATACATTTACAATTCAATTAGCTGAATTTTAAGATTAATTAATTTCTATACATAGTCAGACCAAAACTGGGCTTTCTTTGTGTAACAATTAACACACAATATAGTAAAATGTCAAACAGTAGAGGTAAATGCGGCTTTATAACTCTAAGAACCAACAATCAATTGTGCCATTGGGGAAGAAAGGTTTTCAAGTAGCACTTTGTACCAGTAAGCGAAATATAAGCGGTCTCTCACTAGAGTGATAACCTGGTGAATTGGAATTACTTTGTTAAAATCTTGGAGAACATCTATGGTCGACAGGGAACTTAATTGTAAAAGTAACACGAATGAATCAGTTTGACAAGGAAAAGACCATGCTCTCACAGAATACCGGCGTAAAATAGCAGCTTAATGATGCTGTGTTTCATATAGTGAATGTACAGCCACAGACACTTTTTACTGGAAATGAGGCATTCGGATCTTTGTTCTTAGGAGTGACAGTGCATCTTTATTTTGATTCTTAATCAAAGACAGATGTAGATGACTACAGAACACAGCATAATGCATATTCTTGCCCAAGAAGTGAAATGGACTGGACGGCAGTTAAATACAATACTTCGAAAGACAGTAAAAATAAGGATAGTCCACTCACTGATAATAGTTAAAAACTTACCTCTCTAGGTAAATGGCGCATGATAGTAAGTGTAGTCATATCTAGTGCAACTCTGGTCCCTCCCTTCAGCTTGTTCTTGTCAAGCTGTCGACGGCACCCAACTACATAGCGAGGACCGTTTGTCGCTTTCACAATAACTGTAATTAAATTATGATGCTTCTTATATCACACATGTATATTTAGATTCTACTAATGTATCATCATCATCGTCATCATCACCATCATCATCATCACGACCAGCTTGTGTAAGTTCATAAGTTGCAGCCAGTCGTCTTGCGCAGAACTTCGCTCCATATAGCCAGGGGGCATATAAACAATGCATTTACCAAAATGCGGTCTCCACTCTATGACACGTCTATTCAAATGGATATCACTTCTGCAGCAGATGGGTGCAGCCCATTGCAGCTTCAGCTCGGAAATACCGAGACTACTACTGCGTACTCATCCCATTTTTTCCACATGGATATTACATGTAAATGTATGTTGTTCTTTGTTATGTATGTTGATTTATTTGTCGATGTAAAGTGTGAAACGCTTCCCATGTAGTGGCTACACAAAGAATTCATCACTTCATTTTACATCAACAAGTGTCATAAAAGGCACCTATAGGAAATGCCAGAATAATTTAAGTTCATTTTAAGGTTTCAAATAAAAGGGTATAACAATTTTGTTCACACCATATGTAAGAAATTATATTAAAGGTGCATTGTTGTGGCCAATAATGTTATGATGGTGTAAAAGTTTTTGGAATACATAAAAAAACTCACACTGGCATGAGAGAATAAGATTAAAGCTGCAATATGCCCGGTATTTATAATAATAATAATAATATAGCCTCTATATCCTGAAACTTCTATCTTATACCCTTCTTATTCAGATTTATTATAATATGTGTCTCGGAGTTCTGTGTGCCTCTGGGCAAAAGCCTCCTTTAACAATTTCCATTGCTCTCTATCTTTTGCGACTCTTCTCTTGTGTGTCAGGATTGTGCTAAATGGAAGTTCATAGTCTCTGCCTACCCCCAAGGGTTACAGCCGTGAGTGTTTATGTATGTATGCAGGTAATATGTACATTGCTTAAATACAACTAAATTAAAATGACTGTGATCTGGGACATCCACACTACAATCTTCCCAGGAGGAAGTAAAAAAATATTATTAAACTGAAATATGTAATAAGAAAATAGTAATATTGTAAAATTTTTAAGATATTTAAAAATATTTCTTGGACCATATTCAGAACTCAGACTAACAAGGTTAGACAGAGGACTGCATATATTTCAGGTGATGTCGAAATCATGCTTAACTTCTTTGCACTCACACATACACATCTTTCTTTTTTCTTAAAGCCCTTAAAAATAAACTGCTAAATATACACATATAGAGCTAATATCATTTTGTTTATTGCAAATGATTCTAGATGCATGTGTGCATTTTAGATATGGTAGAGTCATGCTGCAGCTATATTAGTAGTATAGTTGTAGAATGATTGGGTTGGCTCAAGCAGGAAAGCACCACACTCTCTCAGAATACTAGCATAAAATAGCAGCTGAATGCCACTGTGTTTCGTATGGTGAGTGTAGAGAACCATAGACCCTTTTCACTGAAAATTAGGCATTCCATCTTAGTCCTCACGGGTGACAATGCATATGTGTTTTGATTTTTAATCAAGAATAAATGTAGATGTCTATGGGCCACAGCATCCACTTACCATCAGGTGGACTGTGTGCTCGTTCATCACCATTATGCTTTAAAAAAAAAGTAAATAGTACAGATTAACAGTAGCAAAATTTGTAGGTTTGTCTTTTCCTTAATTTATATACAATTAAAGACTACTAGATTGACTTAGATAAACTCAATAAAGTTCTAATTACACAAGTGGAAATCAAATTAAAATAATCATTATTTGTCCTCTAAACATGTGTGAGAAAAATTAATTACAAACATACTAACAAACACTCACACCACATACATATTACATCCTCGTGTCACTGAAAAATCAAACAGATTACAAAAATGTTATCCACTACTTACATTTCTCCTCGGTCAACTGCTTTAATACCTCACCAACAATTTGTCCAACACTCTGCAGGGCTTTTAAGTCATTTTCACTTTTATCATATTGTTTGGTTAAATCTTTTAACTGTTCTCTCACTGAAATGAAAAGAAAACTATTTATGAATCAATAATAACTTTCACAGGATAAAAAAAGAAAATTATGTGGACTTGTGCTTTGTAAAATATGGTTCAAGTTGAATGTATAGTAAAAACGTAAAGTAATCATAAAGCACACATCAACATCATTTTCTTCTTTAATCCCATAAAAATTATTATTGATTAATGTTATTATTAATTTGTAACAATACCAAAATCATCATCTCATTACAGCCCTTCACAAGTCTAATGCTGACCATAGGCCTTCCCCAAAGAATGCTACAAAGCACAGTTCTAAGCCAACTGCATCCATCAACTTCCTGCAAATCTTACCAGGTCGTCACTCCATCTAGTGGGGGACCGCCCCATACTTCACTTACCGGTAAGAGACTGCCACTCCAAAACCTTACTTTCCCATCAGTTGTCTGTTTTTTTGAACTATATGTTTTTCGACGGAATCAAAGGCTTTCGCATAGTGTACATGCTCAAGATAAAGTGACAGATTGTAATCTTCGGTCTTCTGCACAATTTGCCGAAAGGTAAGTATGTAGACAACAATATCATCAGATCAGGTCAAAGTGACAAAGTTGAAAATTTATGAATAAAACATGACAAACAAACACGAGGTGTAATATGTTATCATAATGCAACTAATTAACAACAAATAACTAAAACGCCACTGCAATGATATAGCGGAAATCACTAAATTTAGTAAAAGTACGTACTGTCTTTAAGTCTCGATTCAACTTCTTTGTGCTCCATTAACTTTTTTCTGTAGTCTTGAAAGGCTTTTTCCCTCAAGGGATCCATTGTAGATGTTCCAGCAGGCATTTCAAAGAATATAAACGCAGGGAATGATAATCAAAATTTGCGACTTTTGACGTTTAATTAATTTCAAACGTCAAATCAATTATTATTTAAAAGCATAGGTATTTAAGTTCATACAGCCTAATCTGTCGTATAGATATTATAAAAATCTGAAATTTGTTACATATCGTACCTATAATTATGACGACAGCTTAAACTAACAGACAAATTAAGGGCGTCCGCTGCATCCCGTGCCGTAATCCCATTGCATGATCGTAGCATCCGTCCTGGAAGCACCAGTTAATGCAGCGCCGCTAGTACTACTTGTTAGGCATGTCGATCTGAGATCGATTAACCAAAGAATCGATTTCTTGTGCTGAAAATTTTTAATCGATAAGTAGTAGAGATCGAATCATTTTCTGTTTTTATGAGAACTATAAAATTATTTACAATTATGAATATAATTTTTATAGTTGTATGAACCCAAACTTGTAAACAATGGCAGTTCTTCTATTCAAAACTCGTAAAACTGCTTTGTGCTCAGTTTCTTTCGACTCTTGTTAATGGATGTTAGAAATAAAAGAAAAGTTACGTTTGTAATCTGTACTTCGTTGAATATTCTGATATTGTAAATATAAAATCTGAAAGCAAATCGAAAAATAATCGATTCTTTAGTCTTTGATTTTTTTAATCGATTCATAGGATTTCGATTGGATCGATTTAGAAATCGATCTTTTTAGGAAAGAATCGACATTCTCTCCACTACTTGACGATACGCGTGTTCATTCAAGACGACATAATGAATTATTTACGCATTGAGTTATTATTTCCATCCTACTCCGAATAATGGTGACAAACGAGCACACAGTCCACCTGATGATAAGTAGATACCGAAATCCATAGACATCTACACCACAAACTAATAAGAGTACATCTCACCCTTATGGTTCATAAAAGATAGCTTGATCTCTGCGACAGCTGTCAGTAAAAGCACGCCTATGAAGTCCTGAATTTCTTAGTAGTACAGTACAGCAGTACCTGTCAATGTCACACTTTATGGGCATGCATTAATTAGGTCGGCATGCCCATAAAGTGTGACATTGACAGGTACTGCAGTACTGTACTACTAAGAAATTCAGGACTTCATAGGCGTGCTTTTACTGACAGCTGTCGCAGAGATCAAGCTATCTTTTATGAACTATAATTAATATTCTTAAGGACTAAGAAGGTTTTCCTGGTTTCCAATAAAATAGTCTCCGATTTTCTACACTCACCATAAGAATCCCAGCATTAATAAGATGCTATTTTTGATAGTATTCTGTAATGTCGGCTGTACACTCTCGACGGGGGCCCACCAGGCAAGGCAATCTCTTCGCCGTCCATCAATCCGAATAAACGAGATTGTACAAGGTTACACTCGTGAAACCGTAGACAGAGAAACCTATAGACAAATTATCGCCTTCTTTTGCATTCAAACACGAAAAAGATAGATGAAAAGAAAAGAGAAATGAGACAGTGTGGTGTGATCGTTTGTCCCTTTCTCCGTTCCGGTTTTTTGTTTAGAAAACTACACTTTGCTAAACAACTTTTACAGTTCGTAGCGATTTAAGGAGCTTACAAGTTGGTTTAAGTGAGAAAAGTGTTTTGTGAGCTTAAGATTGGTGAATCTTGTTCAGTTCCGTTCTTAGAACAATTAAAATTTTTATCCAAATATGTTTAAAAGTCATAAAGATTATTGTATAACCTAAAACTACGTTATCGTTCTTTCTCACTCGAGGCCACCCTAATACTACTACGCGTGAAACGCTTTTCGCGCGAAAGGCTCGCCACAAGCATGGCGAGTGCTTCCGTGCATGAATGTACAGCCGCTATAAGAGATGGTCCTACCCGTTCTTGCCGCAACCAAAATAATATAACTTCACGGCTCTACCACTACCACATATAATGTTCAATTTGAATTAATGAATCTTCATTAAACAGTGTACTAAATTATATAAAGAAACTGTATGAATTAATTTTTATAGAATTTTTTTACATAAGTATTAGGATAATTAAAATTATTACCGTAATCCCAAATAATTTCAATTAGCACTTGACAGTTTTTCACTCATATTACCATATTATCTAGAATGTGTAGATATAACCCTTCAGTGTGACTTTGAGAGTGCCCCATTCTTTTTTTTCTCGCGTGTCAAATTCCGTAAAGCTAATAGGATAGCTATTAATTACGTGCTTGACTTAGATGTACTTATTAAACATTTTTTTTTTCTTTAAACCACGGAGTTTTCCGAATGATGCTTTCTTTACCGACAAGAATATGGAAAAGTTAAAGACACAAATTATAAAGTTTTTCAAAGATTTCTTTAAGTATACTACTGGACCGGTAATTCAGAACACAAACTGAGTCACAGATGTGGATCGCGAGAGCAGGCGGGTAGCCGGCACGGTAAATATCGAAATAAAGTTACATATACAGGGATGTCCGCCAGCAGATTTTACACTTTATAAAATAAAATAAAAGTATTTACATAATCTAATTTATTTATTTTCTTACAAAAGGATAGTGTGGAAATCACTTCTTAAAAATAACTCCACTCAAATGACGTCCTTCTAGTCACAAACATTCTTGCAGTCTTTCCTTCATATTGGTGAAAACTCTTTTGCAAAGTGCTGGACTGATAGCCTGAACTTCGCGGCGGATATTTTCTTGTAAGGCGTTTATTGTTGATGGAGAATTATTGTAAACGCGAGACTTGAGATATCCCCAGAGGAAAAAGTCGCAAGGGGTCAGACCTGGAGATTTAGGGGGCCAGGCTACGTGTATTATTAATTTTCAAAAAGCTCTCTCACTTTAATCATTGACTCCCGGGCGGTGTGTGCTGTGGCCCATCCTGCTAAAAGTGAGTTCTGTTATTGTAGCCGACGTGACGATGCAGCTCGGGTATAAAAAAAAATATCCAACGTAGCGCGGTACCGCTCTACGGTAACAGTTTCACCTCTGTTAAAAAAATACGGGCCAATTATACCATTTCCAGAAATGGCGCACCAAACCGTGGTCTTCGGGCTGTGAAGAGGTTTTTGATGAACTTCATTTGGGTTGCTCTCACTCCAATATTGCATGTTCTGGTTATTGACATACCCTCCAAGGTGAAAATGCGCTCGTCACTAAAAAGATGTTAAACATACGCGTAGGCGTAGAAAATCGTTCCAAAAACACTCTTGCGTAAGTCTGCCTCTTTATGTAGTCATCATTAATTGCTGGATAATTTGAAGCTTGTATGGATGGAACTTCATCTTTTTTCGAATTATTTTGTGAACTGACGTCTTTTTCACACCTGTTGTAGCTGCAATCTTCCGGATAGATTTGCGAGGATTTCGCTAAATTTCCCTTCTCACAAGCTCTGTGTTTTCAGGCGTAGTTACAGATGTTGAAGGTCCAGGCCGAGGCTCATTTATGACTGATCCAGTTTCTCTGAACTTCTTGACCCACGACCACATCAGTTGATTCGACGGACCATCCTTTAAGGTGACTCTAGTCGACATTATTTCCATAGAAATTTCGGAGGGGTTTTACTCCGCTGTTTGACAGTGTACATCCAAAGTTAAACATGATATCGTTTTGTCTCATTATTAATTTTGTCTGTACCGAAACAGAATAGTAAAATAAAAAGTCAGTAAAAAGTTACGAGCTACCAAAGATTCGTTTTTATTGCCAATTTTAACACAACTTTGGGCGTAAATTAGTAATAAAAGCAGTGTAAAATTTCTAAAACAAAGTCGGTACCGACACAGCTCAATTATCGAAGAATTCAATAAATTTTATTGGTAATTGATTCATGCAGTGGGTTTTTCATAAAACCCCTCCTTCCAAAGGCCTTTTCGTATTTTTTTACGCGCGCGTGTTTATATGAATTATCGTGCATCTCACTGAATAATTTTTCCCTCGGTGCGGTGCGGGAGGACGACACTTACACACACATGCATGCGCGGTGACGCGCGCTTATTCTAGTTTTATTCGACGTCATTGTCAGCTGCGGCCTGTGACGTTCGTATGATTATAGCTATACCTGCGCTCTAAATTACTACGCTACATTGACCCCTGCTTGAACTTTGGATTAAATCAAATTGATATAAGCACAGACAAAAATAGAGGAATATATAAATAAAATTTTGAAAAAAAAAACGATCTCAAAATTTTATTAATGTTCCGCTAATTTTATCTGTACTTACCTATGTCAATTTGATTTACATTCGATTATAATTATATTCTCAGACGTGCAGGTTTCCTCAATATGTTTTCCTTCACCGCCGAGCACGTGGTAAATCAGCACAATTGCAATTAACAATTTCATTGATACCGGCGGGGATCGAACTCGGGTCTGCATGTCTGAGAAACTCCTCTGACTCTGACAACCTCCTAGGTCCCTAGGTGACTTGCGAGATGTCAGTGTAACAAAACAAAACGGCCCAGAAAAACAGACTTTCCAACTGATAGCTAAACCAGCACGCAACAATTTCATTGGTGCCAGTGGGGATCGAACCCGGGTTGCTCCCGTACTGTGATACCTATAACGAGCGCTAATCATGTGAGCTACCACGGCTCTCAACGACATCGTTCCGTTCGTGTACAGCGCTGAAGATAGCAGAGTAAAAAATTAGAGATTGTGGTGTTTGAAATTTTAAAAAATGTGTTTTTGTTACTAGTACTTTCATATGCATTTAATAAAAAGCTGTTATTTTAACATTACAAACAGACACTTAAATTTTATTTATTTGTAGATATAGATATAAGATATTATTCATATTGGTGTCATTTTAAAGGGAATATCATGTACTATTATAATAATAAAATAATTCTCTCCAGTAAATATTATGCTTTTCTTGTAAAACTCGAAATAACAAATAAATACGATTTCTTAAATTTACGCGAACACTACACATTGAATAAAACTATT